CATACTTGGAGGTTGCAATATTAGAACTGAAGCGACTTTTCTTTTTTCATTTCATAATCTAGATGCTAATTGGCACATGCAGCATATTCATTGACTGCTTCAAGCCAGCAAAGAAGACTTCTTCATCTCCTTGACAACAGGGATTTCCTTAACGCGAGCGGCACCACCACCTTCAACAATGGCTATACTTTCTCTCAATACGTTGGCACCGCCTCCGTAAATAGGAGGGTTAATAGGCTCGACACCATTCTCTTCATCTTCCTGGTCCTCGCTCTTTGCACTGGGGGCGGGAACTTCAAATACCTCGTCCCGGCAATCTGCGCACATAGTCAAGACTTCCTGCAACGCCTTCTCGACAGCAGCAGCACGCTCACGCATGCCACGACGCAGCAGACCATCGACAAGGGTCTCAGTCTCCGCCACGCTCGAATTGACTCGTTCAATGAGTCGTCGGATACTGTTGACGAGATATTCCTCTTCGTAAACGGTGCCCTTCTTACCACGAGCACGCTTGCGTTCCTCGCGCCGGCGAGTCTTCGAAGTATGACGTGACATTCCAGTCTTGCCTGTTTTCCCGGTGTTACCTGTGTAACGGGTGAACATGGAGCGACCAGCAAGAGTAGATGCATCTGTCGGTGCCAGTGATACGTTATCTGGGATATCGACGCCCGTATCTCCACCGGTAGGATCACCGCCGTAGAAAGCAAGTGGATCGGCAGCGCGAAGCTGACGGAGTTCGCTGAGTCGTGGGACCTGGGCATTGAGCTGGGATTTGCAGTCGGCAAGCAGGTCCGTCATGTTCCCCATTGCTTCAGCGAGGCCAGAGTCAACGATTTCTGCAACCTGGCTCTGTTTGCCGTGGAGTGCAAGGAGACGCGCTGCGTCGGCGAACTTCGATCCCCGGCAGAGAAGTCGTGCGGCTGTCACAATGTCATGTAAATGGTCGGCGTAGATTGTTGCTGCCGAGACGTAGTCTTTTTGTTCGTCAACGAGGGTTGTGACCAGACCGTCGATGTGGGCAGCTAGATCTTCCTCGGATAGAGAAGCCATCATGGCACAGTACAATGATTCGCGCCATTTGTGCGCCAGATTGAAGCACTTGTAAGCACTCTCATAAAGTTCGAGAGATTCATACGCTGGGTTGAAAATTAGTTGGCTGTTATTTTGTCTTGCTGTGTTATAACCAAACAACTTACCAATTGCTGCATCTTTGTATTTCGATTGATCTTGTAGATAATCGGCATAGAGCTCGGTAATTTCCCGTTGTTGCTCTGTTTGGTACTTGTAGAGCTCAAGGGCTTCCTTATACAAGACATGCTTGACGACATATGCGCTGATCTCATCGTGAGCATTGAGAGCATACAAATGGCCCAGAGCCTTTTCGAAGCGAGAAAGATGATTGTCGATCTCAAATTGACGGCGAGTCTCCGAAAGCTGTTGGAGCTTACGAAGGAATGGTAGGTACTCGCGAGGATCCTGAGAATTCGTTAGTGAAAAGTGATAACACAACCAAAGTCTCTATCCGAAAGTATTACCATCTGAGCTTGTTGAGCTACCAACAATGTAAGCTCAAGATCATATACACCCAATGCGTGAGAGTATAGACGGTGAGCATCGGTCAAGAAACACATGTGCGCAATAGCATCTTCGGCCTGTTCGGGATGTTGTGCTGTAAATTACAGTGGTTAGTTGTCACCAATCATTGAAAATTACCAAAGGTCCAAGTACTTACTTCTTAGTCCTGCAGCAAGTCCCAGTCCTGCCTCCATGTCAGGTGGTGACTTGCAAACATGTGCCGTGATCAAATTCTGCAAATTGGTATCGACACGGTTTTGAAGAGCCGCCAGGAATGCATCACAGATCTTGTTGATTTTGCTCTCCTTTTTGCCAGTTTTGGGCACCGAGGGAACTGGTGGACTGTCTGGCTGAGCGGCAGCTGCTGAGACGTTCTTGGATATTTTCAGTGTATCCTTATATAGTGTCTGTGACACATCGTCCTCCCTATGTGAACGTTAGCAAAATGGGGTCTTGTCTTATAAGACTGGACATTGACGTACGACAGGCGCGATATGAAATCATCAATGTAATCAATCTTCTTGACTTGATCAATAAACAGGGTGATGTTTTCCATGAATTGTTCAGGAGCATAATCATGGAGAATGTTGAGATCCACCATCTGACTGCGACATGCAAGGAATGCAGACCGGTATTTCTTCTGGTCGATGAAGGTACGGATTCCAGCCAATACTAGAGCGCGAGGGAAGATGGTCTCAATGTTTCCCCGAGGGGCTTGGAGCACGACCGCGAAAATCGACGGGATCACTGAAACCAACCGAGAGCCACGTTCAATGCTTCTGCACCGTTCATCCGTCTCTGGTGTATCCTCAGGAACTTCCATTTCTGCAGTTCCCATGTTAGCTTAGGACGACATAGATGACCAGGAAATCAATCTTACCATCCACGTGGTTCAGATGAACAAATTTCAGAAGATGTGCTGATGTGGTGTACAAAAGGTGAGATGGGGTCACGAGGAAAGACGTGCAGTTCCTCGCGAGGACTCGCTTGTTAGCATACAAGGCACCAGTTCTCGTCAATGCAATCAAAATGCGCTACTACAGTCAGCACGAAGCTCCAAGTACAAAGCGAATATGATCTTACCTCATCCTCAGAGATAGAGACAACACGAGCCCAATGGCTGTCAACATTCGGGCTATCCGCCCACGGAGCAATATCCAGATTCCCCGATGACGCCTCTTCAATGCTCGAGTAGCTGACAGGACGAGCTGGTTGACGGGCATGTGAGAACCACAGAGCTTGGTGTCCAATACCGGCGAAGATCGATGCCAATTGCTCTGAGTCTGCAGCCTGATATACAGATTCGGTTGTTCGAGTGTCCAGGATCGTCCTCTCGATGCAGCTCGAGTTTGGTCCGTTGTCCTTCAGCACATATACCTCATTCTCATTCAAGAATGCAATCTGTCGGGGCCGACTGGCTGGGGCATCTGATAACGGATAGCTTGACTCGAGGATAGGAACAGGAACAGGTCGGCTCTTCAGAGACCAGAGGTAAATGGAAAGCGTGTTGCTCATCAGCACAGCAATGCGGGCTCCGGATTTACTGAATGCAACATCAATGGCGTTAGAATCCAAAGCCAGCTCGTTGTGTGCCATGGGAGGCGGTACCCCAGCCATTCGCAACGGGGTCAACTTGAGAGTTTCTAATAGTTGGATCAGTAATATTCTCAATCAAGTTCTATTGGGATACTTACTCCCGTCGATGACTGCAACAGCGCCAACATCATCTGGAATAGAGGTAGAGCCATGGTTGATATCAAATACATAATCCGCATCCAGTATCGAGCCTGTTCAGATCAGCTTTTATTCGTATTTTACTCTTCATGCAAGGATATCGTACCTGAGGAGCCAGCAACCAATCGCAATGTCTTCTCTTGGTGCCATTCAAATGAGTAAGGAAGCGAAGAATTTGTATCAACCGTGATAGGAATCTCTTGCTTCAAATACCAATGGTAATTGCCCGTTGTCCAAAACTGTACACGGTCCTGAAACTTGACAGCAAGTACAGTAGAATCCACGTTCCAGGCAAGATGGATGCGAGAAGCCCATGATTCCATCTCCTCTTCGGATAGACGAAGAGAAAACTCGCCGTGGCGGAGTCCGTTCCTTTCGAAGAACACCACATCGATCCGTTCGTTGAGTCGTTGAATTCCAGCAATCAAGCTGCCAGACGGCCGCCAGCTCAGAGCGCCTTCCAGACCGTCGACGGGTTCACTCACACTGTCCAAAGTACCCTCTCTCGAGTATACCCTGATCACGCGGCGAGTGTCTGCTTCGACGCTGTTCACGGCAACATATGCGCCATCTCCTCGCCAGCTGATCATAGTGCTGCCATCATCATGGCTGCTCAAGATTCCTTGGTCGATCTTTTCTGGTACAGTCGGGTCTCGAAGAGCCTTGGCTCTCTTTCCTTGGAACTGTGTTTCCTTCTTACCCCATCCGACTGACACATGTTGTGATGATTGCAGGTCACTATGAGCGAAAGTAATATCGGCCACATTCTCAAACTCTCTGGTCATATACAAGAACGTCTGGGCTCTGGTGGTGAGAGCCAGCATTTCCTCATCTGGTGACCATGCTGCAGCTGTGATTCCCACATCGACTGAACCGACAATTTCGATCTTGTCTTCACCAGGAAGGGGTTCTTCACGAACAACGACAATATCGCCTCCTTCGAGCACCAGACAGGTTGTCAGGTTGTCTGCAAAGTAATGCAGCGAGAGTACACGATCACATGCCAGGCCTGGCAGAGGGCATGGAGCATCCCAGGAAGCAATGCATTCGAATGCTTCGGGAGACAGGGGATCTGTTGAAGTGATCTCAGGGCGTTTCCGTCTGACCTCAATGATTGCATTGTTCTCGGCCGGACCAAAGGTGCACACCACCGAGTCTGAAGCAGTATCCCATGCTGTGGCAGTGAGAGGCAGCTCGCTCTCAATTTGCGTCTCAGCGAGACGGACGTTTTTCAAATTGCGCATATTCCAGGAACGGGTAACTTTTTTTATGCTTCTTTTTTTTACCCCGCCATGAAGCGATCAAGGGAGTAAATGTATGGAATTCAAACAACACTGAGGAAAATTAAATTCCAGATGCCAGCCTTTCTTCCCCGTTGAAAGTAACTGTCCCGTTGCTTAGGGGTGGTTGTGTTCGTGAGGACTGATATATGAACCGCGGTGACCCAGAGATTTTTTGGTTTTCCACAGCGGCTCAGCCAATGACTTCATCCATATTTCAACGTCCTTTTTAAGCTACGCATTTCAATATCTACACAATTACAATTGGGTCGAAGATAAATGGAACCAATTTTCGATAATAATCTCTAGCTTTGTACATGCTATCCGCCTCTGTTTCAAACCAGATCCAAGTTTTCGACCACCTAGTCGCCCATACTGTTATCGCAAGAAAAATACAGTGTAAAGGGCAATTTATTTGGTCTTGTAGGTTTGCCAGACTAGTAGGAAGAAATGTTAGAGTTGGCTTGAGGCGTAGAATCGTAGGGAGGGGGTATAACTCACCAGCAATGGCGAAGGGAGTACCGAATCCGGTAACTAGATGATGCCCGAGTTAGTCATGACACTGCGCATATCCATAGATGCCCAATGGGGATCACTAACTCATGAAAGCCCAGTAGCGCCAGAAGAAGTGCTTGGTGAGAGGGTTGAAGGGGATGTTGGTGCGAGGACCCTCAGCGTAGTGGTAGGGGCTGCCAAGCTGGGTACGAGTGGTGGAGAAGCCACGACGGGCAACGAAGGAGGTGGCCATTCTGGCCCGGATAGCGGAGGAGTACATCTGAGATAAAGATGTTAGTGAGGGCAATGGTTATAGCTCCAGTGGGAGGGTCTAACCTTGAGTAACAGAGAGGAGAGAGTGGACGATCGGGAGCGGACGGACGAAGCCGAAGTGAACGTCGCGAGGTGCGGAATGGGATGATCATAAATCACGTGATATATCTTCTTCAATCAGGTTTAGCGTGTTTTGTCCGGGATCTCCCCACCGCTTGCCCCATGTGGATAGAACTTTTAAATTTCTCAACCAAGAAAAGTCCAGACCGGTTACCCACGCCGCTCATTCTTCTTCTGTGGTTGATTCTCCAATTCCAACCGCTGGAGATGGATGAGCTCTTTGACGTCTTTGAGGACCAGCCTCAGGCGGTGAAACCGTCAGAGGGTGCCCCCAAGCGCTTAAAGAAAGATAAGAATAAAAAAAGACAGGTGAACGGAGCTGTGAAGAAAACTGCAGATATCCGGACTGAACAGAAGGAGGATGTTGCGATGGCCGATGCGCCTGTTGCGGAAGCCGACTCAGCAGATGCCGAAGCCCCCACGACTTCGTCCGAACCAGACCAACCCGAGACGAAGCGACCTCGATTGGATCAGGAACCCGAGCCAGTTGTCGCCGATTCTTTCGAAACCGAGCAGGAGCGTGAAATCGCAGCCTCTGGAGGACTTTCAGGCACCACAGACACTTCTGCCGTTGTTGTGTCTCATCAAGTCCGCCATCAAGTCGCAATCCCGCCTAACTACCCTTATGTGCCTATCTCCCAGCACAAGCCTCCGGCGAACCCAGCAAAGACATGGCCCTTCACACTTGATCCTTTCCAGCAGGTTGCAGTGTCTTCAATCCAGCGCGAGGAAAGTGTACTGGTGTCAGCCCATACCAGTGCCGGAAAAACCGTGGTGGCAGAATATGCGATTGCGCAAAGTTTGAAACAAAACCAGCGAGTGATCTACACCAGTCCCATCAAGGCGCTCAGCAATCAGAAGTACCGTGAATTTGCTGCTGAGTTCGGCGATGTCGGTCTGATGACTGGTGATGTGACCATCAATCCCACTGCTACATGTCTTGTTATGACCACGGAGATTCTTCGCTCCATGTTGTACCGTGGCTCTGAGATCATGCGTGAAGTTCAGTGGGTAGTCTTCGATGAAATTCACTACATGCGAGACATCAATCGTGGTGTTGTTTGGGAAGAGACTATCATTCTGTTGCCCGATAAGGTCCGCTATGTCTTCCTGTCCGCCACCATCCCGAACGCCATGCAATTTGCCGAATGGATCGTGAAGATGCATAACCAACCCTGCCACGTTGTCTACACCAACTATCGTCCGACCCCGCTCCAGAACTACTTCTTCCCCGCTGGTGGAGAGGGTATCCATCTCGTGGTGGACGAAAAAGGAGTTTTCCGCGAGGAGAACTTCCAGAAAGCAATGAGCGCAATTGCTGACAAGAAAGGCGACGACCCGGCTGACGCTTTAGCCAAACGCAAGGGCAAGGGCAAGGATAAGCAAATTAACAAAGGTGGAAACAAGGGCCCATCGGATATCTTCAAGATCGTTAGGATGATCATGCTCAAGAACTACAACCCCGTCATTGTCTTCAGTTTCAGCAAGCGAGAGTGTGAAGCAGGTGCTTTGCAGATGAGCAAATTGACCTTCAACGATGATTCCGAGAAGAATATGGTGTCAAAGGTTTTCGAAAGCGCTATCGAAATGTTGTCTCCAGAGGATCGCCAACTGCCACAGATCCAAAATATCCTTCCGCTTTTGCAACAAGGTATCGGTGTCCATCACTCAGGATTGCTGCCAATTCTTAAAGAAACCATTGAGATTCTGTTCCAGGAGGGTCTTATCAAAGTCCTGTTTGCAACTGAGACTTTCTCCATTGGGCTCAACATGCCTGCCAAGACTGTAGTCTTCACCAGTGTCCGCAAATTCGACGGAACTAGCCAGCGCTGGGTTACTCCATCTGAGTTCATCCAGATGTCCGGCCGTGCTGGTCGTCGAGGTCTCGATGACCGAGGTATTGTGATTATGATGGTCGGAGAGGAGATGGACCCAGCAGTCGCAAAGGAGATTGTGCGCGGTGAACAAGACCGACTCAATTCAGCATTCCACCTTGGCTACAACATGATCCTCAACCTGATGCGTGTGGAGGGTATCTCGCCCGAATACATGCTCGAGCGATGCTTCAAGCAGTTCCAGAACACTGGAAGCGTTTCGGGCCTGGAGAGGGAGCTTGAGAGTCTCGAGGAGAAGCGCGCCAATATGGTCATCTCAGACGAGGGGACCATCCGCGAATACTACGAGCTACGGAAGCAACTGGATGCATTTGCTGACGATGTTCAGCATGTTATCACTCACCCAAATTACTCGTTGACTTTCATTCACCCTGGACGATTGATCCATGTCAAGTACAAGGGTGCTGACTTCGGTTGGGGCGTGGTGATCAACCAGAAGAAGCGCAAGCAAGCGAGTAACGACACCGAGAAAATCACTCCTCACCAATCCCACATTGTTGATGTCTTGTTGAGGATGTCGGAAGGGTCATCCATTGGCACCAAGTCTTTCCAAGATCTTCCGCCAGGCGTCCACCCTGCAAAGGAAGGAGAACCGACTCGCAGTGAGGTTGTGCCCATTGTGCTGAGCTGCATCACAGAAATCTCTCACATTCGCATCATGCTTCCGAAGGATATCACGTCGCCTGGCTCTCGGAATGAAGTCATGAAGTCTATTGATGAAGTGAAGAGGCGCTTCCCAGACGGTGTTCCGCTACTTGATCCGATTGAGAATATGCAGATCAAGGATGAAAGCTTCAAGAAGCTGCTACGGGTAAGAAGAGATCCTGTTGCTCTACAATCTGATTCAAGCTGCTAACGATCACATAGAAAATCGAGGTTCTTGAGTCTCGCCTCCTGAGCAATCCTTTGCACAATTCGCCCCGGTTGACTGAATTGTACGAGCAATATGCCGAGAAGGTGGACCTGACTGCAAAGATCAAGGCAATCAAGAAGCAGATTACAGAGGCCATGTCGATATTGCAGCTTGATGAGCTGAAGTGTCGCAAGCGTGTGCTCCGTCGTTTTGGATTTATCAACGAAGCCGAAGTCGTGCAGTTGAAAGCTCGTGTTGCTTGTGAGATTAGCACAGGTGATGAGCTGATGCTGAGTGAGTTGCTGTTTAATGGTTTCTTCAATAACTTGACTGCTGAGCAAATCGCTTCCGTCATGAGTTGTTTCGTGTTTGAAGAAAAGGTCAAGGAAGCCCCTGCTTTGACGAAGGATGAGTTGGCGAAGCCACTGAAGGAGATCCAATCACAGGCCCGCATCATTGCCAAGGTGTCGCAGGAGTCTAAGATGGCCGTGAATGAGGATGAGTACGTGACGAGCTTCCACTGGGAGTTGATGGAAGTGATCTATGAGTGGACTCAGGGCAAGTCTTTTGCAGATATCTGGTAAGCTTCTCTCCCCCCGGTTCTTCTACCAGTATACTAACTATCCTAGCAAAATGACCGATGTCTATGAAGGTAGCTTGATCCGTGTCTTCCGCCGGTTGGAAGAGTGTTTGCGGCAGATGGCGCAAGCTGCCAAGGTGATGGGCAGCGAAGACTTAGAGAGCAAGTTCGAGGAGGCCCTGGGCAAGGTCCGCCGCGACATTGTTGCTGCCCAGTCCCTGTACTTGTAGATACGATATCCATTTTATGATCGCTGGAGTTCAAAGAATATGATTACCCACAAATTTCTTTTTTTTCCCCTACGTAAAATACATGTAGTACTGCCGGAGTAGATGATGCGGGTATTCGTATAGTGCCCGAAAGCAGTGTAGATTTAATCTGACACATACTGTTTTAAGATGTCATGAATAAAACCAAAAAAGAAAGACATCTGACCTTTTTTTAAAAAACTAAATTATATTATTTCTAATTCATGTCAAATCCCTATTTAAGGGCACAGATCCCCAAAGCTGCGTAAAGGGAGTGCGTTGCCACCTGCAACGCCTACTTTTTCTCCACCGCTACCTTTCTCTACCCTTCTCTCCCCACTTCAAACCCTTTATCTTCTTCCTTTATTGCTGTTCTTCCACTCTTTTGGATATCCGAGTCCTTTGGACCATCACATTTCTACTTCGCCATCTGGCTGTCACCATGAACAGCTTGGTGGCTACACCTCCTGTTCCGCCTCACTTCTACGAGAACCCCCGATTTTCTCCTGCCCGTATGAGTAAGACATCCCTTTCCAGACATTGAAAGAATTTGTTCTGTGATCAAGATGGTTCTCTTTGATGCATTCGTATACTGACAAATCGGCCAGTGTCTACACCTACATCATCGTATGCCAGCCGTAAACGGAAAGCCGACGAAGACAACGATCATGATGGACGTATGTCTGCTTCGCCCACAAACTCTCCCGCCTTCACTCCTCGACAACTCCCTCACAATTACCGCAACATCAAACGTTCCCGACCGAACGTTTCAGGTCGACCTCTACCTCTACCCCGTCTGCTAGAGACCCTCGATACAGATGCCTTGCGGACGGTTGTACGGACCATGTGCGAGCGTCACCCTCAACTCGTCGAAGAGGTTGTGCACACATCTCCCCGTCCAAATGTCTCCTCGACCCTTCAAGTCCTTCGAAACTATCAGGCCACCCTTCAGTCGTCATTCCCGTTGGGTGGCAACACCGAATCAGACTATGCCTACAACCGAGTCCGACAGCCGCTCACCAACCTTCTTGACGCCTTGAGTGACTTCACCCCCAACTTTCTTCCTCCAAACGAATCCCAAGCATCCACATCCTTAAGCTACCTAGATGGGGCAACCGACATCATTCATGCCTTGCCTCGGTGGAGCACGCCACAGAACAACATCGAACGAGACTCGGCCTATGACGAGATGTGCAAGGCATGGATTCTAGTCATTCGGGAAGCAGCAAAAAGAGGCGGCGGCATCCAGTTGCAATACGGAGGTTGGGATCAAAAGCTGGCCAAGCACAACCAAACCTCTGGAGGAAAGCTACAGGGAGCTGTCAACGAACTTGGTTTCAGCCTCGGATGGATGAATGGACCCGACACGCCATCCCATGGAGCCAACGGCGACATGGGCTCCATCCGAGATCAGCTCTTCGCCGGAACTTATGGGCTGGGAACACCAGTCAAGGTCGGACCTTGGTGATAAATCACACCACTCCGATTTCCTTACGAAAGACCACTACATTTACACCGCTCGAGTGTCGACCTCACGTTCCCCCCCATTCATGCCGGCTCTCATTTGAGCCTGACCGACGGTCCATACCCCTTTGACCGCGCAATTTTTGACGTATGTCACGATCACGATACCTTGCTGCATGACCCTAGAACATGGTCAGATGGCGTTATAGTACTCAATACTCAAGGCGGATAACCTAACAGCTTTTCTTTTTTTTTTTTGTCTTCTTTTTCGGCTGGAAGGTTGGAAGATACTTGTTATAGCTTGTTTGTTCTCAAATCTTTCAATGAACTCAAACTACCTTCCAAGGGTTTTCTTCCAATCTTGATTTGCTCATTGTATTCCGATTTACCCACATCACCCTTCCTTTCCCTCTTTCCTTTCTGTCAAATCCTTTTCATCTGTGTACTTCCAACTCTGATACTCTCTTTCTATCTCTACTGGCGCCCTGGTGTCGCATTACTCTCTTTCATGTCAAATTGTCTTTTTTTCCCCTTTGCTGTTATAGGTTGTCTTTGCCTGTTTTTTTTGGGACTCGGCATCAATCTCTGTGCCATTTTTTCCCTCGCATATTCCAGTGCTGCGTGTCAGAGCGACAACCTATGTCTTGCCCTCAACCCAATACTTGCGCTTTTTAGCTTTGGGGGAAGTTGGTGAAGATTTGAACCTATTCTATTAAAAGAGGAACACTCGCCACAGTCTGCAAAGTACGTTCTGATTCTGTCATATTGCGCAACATATTTTAGATAAGTTGTCCGTTGATAGGGCCTTTCATTCACGCTAGCTTGTTTTATTTGAATATCAATTTTCTCGGAGCTTTTGGTCAAGTAGAAAGATGTAAAAACCAGTCCATTTCCTATTCTCTTAGGACTTTTGCTTGACCATGTATAGCCAGCTTCATAGTTATTCCGAAAAAAATGGCTAATAACCAACAGCAAATCAAAACAAGACTTGATTTACAGACAAACATCCCAATCAAGAACGTCGCTCAATACAATTCATAATTCATACCAACGCCCGCTTCATCAAACGGAACAGCCACTCAGCGTCCTCCCACCCACCCTGTGTTCCAGGCTTCTCAATGGGAGCAGCACTACCAGTAGAATTCTGACCATCACCACGAGAAGAATCCCCATCATCAGACAAATCCCCGTCTCCAACCGAACCAAGTGAAAGCGCATCATCATCCCCCCCAGAAACCAGAAGAGGCTCCTCAAATGTAACAGTAGTAGTAGTATCCGCCGTACCAATACGCGAAGCAGCCGCTGCAGCAGGCACAGCAGCCGGAACGGCCACAGGCCACTCCTCAACTCCGAAAAGCGTCCACTCAACCAACCGGTCAATCCAAGATCCGAGCCCGAACCCACGCTCACGCGTCAGCTGCTGCAAATCCGCCTCATCAAACTCGTCCGGTGTCTCGTCAGAGCTACACGAATACTCAGACGAAGTCTCATCTTCGTCCGAGCCCGTCCCATCCCAGTACACAGAGTCTTCATCTAACTCGTGCTCGCGATGCTCTAGCGACGCCATCTCTGCGCGGAGGTGCGCGTCCACGAAGTCCGGCACTAAAGGACTACGGCCGCGCGCTTCGGGGCTCGCCGTGCGTGTGACGGTTCCTGTATTCGTTCCCGAGCCGGTGCATACCTTCTCTGCTGTCGTTGAGGTAGATGATGTCGCCGGGAGGGCGGTCATGCTTAGATCAACTCTACTGCCGCGTCTGCTACCGGCGCGGGAGCGGGAGGCGCGACGGGAGAGAGCGCCGCCTCCACCTGGGGTTGAAGCGCCGGAGCGAGAAGCGCGCCACGAGGCGCCTGATTTGGTGCGGTGGTGGTGGCGGTTGGTGGGTGTTTCGTCGAAGGGGGTGAGGCTTGTTGAGCTCTCGCGCTTAGAGAGCCAGCTTTGGCCTTTTTCCTCGCGGGTTGAAGAGGCTAGGGCAATGCCTGCGCGGAGCATCCATTCTGCGTCGGATTTGGATTTCGGCGTGCTGTCCGGCAGGGGGCGTCGTCCTTGCGAATGAGAGATGCTGTGATGTTTCTTGTGCGTGTCTTGCATGTGGTGGAGGGCATGGCTTAGCTCCCGGTTGTGCAGATTCATGTCGCTGAAGGGTCCTGCCCCTGTAGAGGTCTTGCTGCGCGTGTGGTGGCGGCTTCTTGAGTTGCTACGTGAGTGGGAGAGGATCGGTGGCGTGCTCGGGACTGAGACGCTGGATAGATAGGATGATGCTGGAGGTGTACGGGTACCACTGGCTGGAGTTTCATGGTCGCGGTGGTTGAAGTAGTCTGTTGGATCAGTGTCGTCGTCAATAGGAAATCGTGGGTTTAAGGGTGCTAGAGAGATATGGTGAAGGGATGGGTATGAGCGACGGGACTGGAAGCCTCCCGAGGTGGTGGACTATATATATGTATGCCACGTTAAATCTCCATTTCATGTCCTTTTTAAGGTCGGAATGTAATTTACCTCCATCGTGAGTTTTCCAGCTGAAACCTCAAGCAGAATCAAAGAGGAAGAGATCGAGATGGTGGAAATGCGGAGTTGCTGCACGTGCAGTTGGCATGTGAAAGTGGCCGAGCCCCGGCAATTGCGTTGAAGTTATTATGCCCGAGGATATTTCTAGAAATATAATCAAATACCTAGGGAGAGATAAATAGCGTGGAATGTTGTTGAATATAACTAAGCAGAGTGAGAAGGAATGACCTATAGATGACGGATCTATATAAATCATCCAACATCGCGAAGCCCAGTACAGTCCAATCATACGACTAAATAATGGTATGATGGGTGCTCGTTTGGTGCAATTGAATTGAATATATGAAAAACTAGAGGTTTATTTCTTTGTACAAAATAGCCCATCAAAATATCTACAGCATATCAACATATATATCATAACCGCTTACAGGCGCGAATCTTGAAAATCCAAATATCCCTGGCCCTTGACCTTCAAGTCTTCTAGAACATTGTACTCCATAATCCACTTCATGCGCTCCATCAATGCATCCGGGTTGAAGTTGTTGGACATTTGGTCGGGAGAGTCTGAGCTAGCCAGCTTGCCGGCTTCATAACTGGTCATTGTGACCCGGTCTGTCCGTGGCTTGCGCAGGTCCTGGTAAAACTTGAATGCAGCCTCTAGATCGTCAGTCTTCCAGTGTCTAAGAACTGTTGCAAGGGCAATGCCGGATTCAATTGCCATGCATGTTCCTTGACCTATAATATACTGTTAATATATGTCCCGCAACAGGACTAGACACAGATCGGATGCAACGTACCTTGATGAGGAAGAGTAGAGTGCGCCGAGTCACCAAGTAGAATAATACCAGAATCTTTCTGCCCACTCTTCATCTCATACCACTTATCGATCGGGTCACGCACGTGCAGTGCCTGTTTGAGCATCTTGCCGTCCTCTGAGCTCTTGCGCAACCCAGCAATGATATGCTGCACCTCCGGGCACCAGTCACGCACGTGCTCCTGGAGACTATCAATATCCGAGCGAGACATCCAGCTCTCAGAGTCCCATGCCTCAAGCGACTCGGACATAAACCCGATGACGGCAGCACGATCGGTCCCCGTCTCCTGGTTCCCAATAGGCAAGATCAGGACATGGCGCTTGGGTCCACGAAAGTTAACAGTCTTGCGCAGTAGCTGTGCCGTCTCAGCGGGTAGGTCCTTGTAGTCGACGAATCCACGATACACCACCTGGCCAGAGTAGTGAGGGTCGTCTCCAAGCCCCATATCCCGGCGCACATTAGACTTGATACCATCACAGCCGATCACAATATCCGCCTCGGCGGTGCTGCCATCCTGGAAATGAAGGGTGTACGGTGCAGCACCGGCGGCAGCGTTGCGGTCGACGGATGTTAGGTGCTTGCCCAAGTTTAGGCTTGACTCGGGAACTCGCTCTTTCAGTGAGTCTAGCAGGTGGGCACGGTGCAGCAGGCGCGCGGGGGGTTGCGAGAATTCACCAATGTGACCTACGTAGTCTCCAGTCTTGTAGCTGTGGTATTCCATGTAACTGGGCAATTTGTGTGAGGACTTGCGCATCATGGTCTCCTGCAGACCGAAGGCGTCCAAGACGCGATTTGCGTTCGAGGTGATGTTCACTCCGGCGCCGACTTCACCGAACTGCGCTGCTTGCTCGTATAGTTGCACGTTCTTTAGGCCGGCGTATAGTGCGGCGTTGAGGAAGGCCATGCCTCCTAGACCGCCGCCGACGATTGCAACTCGCTTATCCTCGAAGCCCATTGTGAGCGTGGGGTATCTTGATAATGAAATGCGGAGGGATTTGGAGGCACTGAAAGAGATATTGAGAGAATGATGATCGATACTCCGGGTTCTCAAGCAAGCTTTATATATACTCGGAATTCCCCACAATCCCCCCTTTCCTCCCACAGGGCCCGGGCTCCTCTGATGGATTACAAAGTACCCGATCAACCATCTTGGAGATGCCCTTCGGAGCGTGGGGTAAGTGTGGGGCGAGCAATGCCGATATTCCACCTCGGATTTCCCGAATTCCAACAGGCATTGATGTGAAATACATAACGTATTTTCAGAGTCTCGAGAATCCAGGATATATGCAGCGTTGGGGAATTTGAATATCGGGAATATCCTGTATATATCACATACACCTGGGCAGTGATGTCGGATTCGGTAATGCGAAGCAACTCCCGGGGTCAAAGGTAGATATGGTATGTAAATATTTCTTGATATAACCTTGGAGACTTCAGATAACTAGCAAGTATGTTGTATATTGTGCAATATAGTCCGGATGATCTACATAACGGGATAGATCACCTGTCACCTAGACATGTCCTAGAGTCGGAAGGCCCCGCCATTTTGGAGGAGCCACATCCGAAAGCCCCAAGGGCCGTCGGATCATCTTTTGATTGGCGCACCGGCAATTGAGAACCCTACGTGTGGCTGACTCCGCTATATCAAATCATCATCCTTGTCATTGGTCGGGTAAAGTCGAGAAAAAAATATTACACTGGGACTTCGGGATGTGTTCTATAGACTCCGTAATTAACCGGTTTTTACTCCACAATTTTTCCCTTGTTCACAACGAAGCCCTCCAATGCGGCAATAGCCGCCCACAAACGATTTTCGGCTTCCGGGAAGACTAGAGAGCGCGGGCTGTAGAAAACCTCGTCATCCACTTCCTCCGGGTGACGGGGCAGGCAGTGCATGAACTTCCAGCCCTCCTTAGCGCCACCACGCTTGGCCAAATCAGCAGTGATCTGGAAGCCCTCGAAGGCCTTCATGCGCTTCTTGGACTCCTCCTCCTGGCCCATAGAGACCCAGGTATCCGTAACCAGGATGTCGGCGTTCTTGACGGCTTCCTCGGGAACATTGGTCTGGGTGAGCTTGCCAGCCTGGGGGACACCCTCACCAGCGCGCTTGATGATGTCAATCATATCCGCAGGGATCTCGTAGCCCTTAGGAGTAGCAACAGCCACATCAACACCCATCTTAGCAGCGCCAATGGCCAGATCGAACAGAACGTTGTTCGCATCACCAACCCAAGCGATCTTAAGACCCTCCAGACCCAGGCTGGAGAGCTTGTGCGCATGAGACGGGAAAGTCTCGTAGATAGTCAAAAAGTCGGCGATGATCTGGAGCGGGTGGAAGGAGTCGCACAGCGCATTGATCACAGGCACGGTGGAGTGCTGTGCCAGACCTGCGACGTCCTCGTGCTTGGCGACACGCGCAACAATGCACGAAACCATGGACGAAATTACAACGGAGGTATCGTATAGGGACTCGTTGACACCGAGCTGGATGTCATCCTTTCCGAGGAACATGGGGTGGCCGCCCATCTGGACGGTGGCGGCTTCCGTGGATACGCGGGTGCGAGTACTGCGCTTGTTGAACATCATGGCCACGGTCTTTCCGGAGAGGGATCCCAATAGGCTTTCCGGAATGGCTCCGGACTTGATGGCACGCTTGTGCGATGCAGCATTGCGGACCAGGGTTGCGAATTCCGTGGGGGTTAGGTCGGCAATGGAGAGAAGGTGACGAGGGGCGAAAGGGGAGGTGGGAGGTAAAGTCGGTGTCTGGTGGGCAAATCGTCGGATTCCATTAGCCTGGAGTGTTCGACGCAAAGATGAGGTGGAGCCGGCCAATTGGTTTACACTTTGGGCACCATAACGGGCGGCAGCTGTGAGACCACTAGCCATGATGAGCAGGGGGTTACTGGTGAGGAATTGGAGGGTTGTGGGAAAGGGAAAAGGAATGGGGCCCTAAAAATGAAGAAGAGTGACTCAATAAATTAATCTGGTGGATGTGGGAGGGCATTAGTGCCTTGACGCCCAATAATTCAGGTGCCAAGGTGTCGATCTCTCCACAATTCCATGGGTCCGTTATCATCGGCTTATCGTCATCGAGGGAGCGCCTCTTCCAAGGTTACATCTTGCCTCTCTCTCTCTTTCTCTGTGTTATGTGCTTTGGATTCATTCTTTTCATAAAACTGCTATTAGCTTCAGGGACTACAACTCATTGTGATTTATCCATACATTTAGGGCCACGATGGCTGACGAGGCAAACCGGCCTCTGCTAGCTGCGCAGTTTGGCTCCGAGAGAGCATCCGACGACAAGCCCAGGCCATCATATCAATTATCAACAGAGCCATCAAATCTTTCACACAATGAAGATGACATGACGGTTTATAGCAGCGAGCAAAGATTATCGCGATCTTCTTCAGGCGGGGTTCAGGGTATTCATACATCCCAGGTCGCGGCTGCTGAAGACGCTAGCCGACCTCTGCTGGATGGACAGTCTAGCCCTCCCGAATGGCCCACCGCGAGAACATCCCTCGACGAGCCTAGGCTATCATATGAATTGTCATCAGAATCAACACCTCTATTACACCGCCGTGAAGATGAACTGATCTACGGGACTGAGCAAGGATTGTCGCGATCCCCTTCATTCGCATCACAGAACCCGCCCGAGAATGGCGCCATCAAGAAGCGGAGCCGTGTACCATGGCCGACGGTCATCTCTCTCGCTCTCTTAACACTCAGTGTTTTGACGATCCTGGTACTTGCCTTTGCTGCTCCGGCGGCGGTCAAAGAATATGCGCAGCAAGCCGCTGTCTTCAAACCGACGGCAGTGTCAATTGATTCTACGACACCCGACGGCGTTCGGGCCCGGATTCAGGGCGAGTTCGTGATGAACTCGGGTCGTGTGAAGAATAAATCGGTTAGAGGTATTGGTCGATTGGCGACATGGATTGCCAGAGAAGTTGAGACGGGCCCATCAAATGTGGAAGTTTATCTTCCAGAATATGGGAATGTGCTTGTCGGAAACGCAGCATTGCCCTCCATCAAAGTGAACATCCGTAACGGCCACCATACCCATGTCGACTTCCTCACTGATCTAGAGGCTGGTGACATTCGAGGAATCCACGCGATAGCTATTGATTGGATTGAGGGAAGATTGGGGCGCCTTAGTGTCAAGGGCAAGGCGACAATGCATCTCAAGTCAGGCTTGATCACTTTGGGAACTCAAGTTCTAACAGATTATATCATTATTGAAGGTATAGTGTATTTGAACGTTTTTGATACTGGCATATCTAAGCTAACTCCCTTTTTAGAACATGATTTCCCGGCTCTGCCAAAAGTCAATATTCTCAAGCTGAATGTGCATGATGCAAACAGTGGTGCCATGGCAGTAGATGTCTTACTTTCATCTTTGATTGATTCTCCTGTCGCTCTCACTGTTCCTGCCCTCGGCTTTGACATTCTGGTACCCAACTGCTCACCCGGGGACCCTTATATCCTGGTGGCCGATGCGAAAACAAGCGCAGTAGACGTTCATCCTGGCCAGGTAACTGCAGTCGGCGTTGATGGTCTCATCCAGCAGCTACCCGATGAATTGACCTCTACCTGCCCAGGACGGGAGGGTTCTCCTCTAGATCTTTTGGTTTCGAGCTTTATGCAAGGTCTCGAAACGACTATCTACGTTCGTGGATCTGATGCACCATCACCCAATACCCCAGCATGGATTGTCGATCTGCTGCGCAGCGTGACTGTGCCTCTTCCATTTACGGGACATGCGTTGGACAACCTCGTGAAGAACTTCACGATGTCTGATACGCATTTCTCGCTTCCTAACCCTTTCGCGGAGCCAGATTCTCCAGACTCGCAGCCCACAGTGTCTGCTCTAGTGAAGGTTCTCATTGCTCTGCCAGAGGAGATGAATTTTCAAGTAGAAGTCCCGCAAGTTCGTGCCCTTGCAGATGTCTACTACAAGGAAGAGAAGTTTGGCGTGTTGAACATCAGCCACTGGCAAGACGCCAACTCCACAATGGTGGATGATGAAGATGGCTCTTCTGCACTCCTTGTGGAGTTTGCAATAGAGGATGCACCATTGCAAGTCACAGATGACGGGCTTTTGGCAGAGGTCATCCAAGCAATGCTTTTCGGTAGCGAAACAGTCGTACTGCGGGTTGCTGCCATCGTAGACACAAAGGTCTCAACTGGTTTGGGCCGCTTCGCTGTGCGAGGGATTCCTGCGGAAGGGAAGGTACCCGTGAAGAGTATGTTTTCATGAATTAGAAGATCTTAGTACAAATCAAGAATATTTTGGCCATTGACCATGTCATAGCTTCCATCGGCAACTCACTTGACCAAATCAATCCACGCGTCGTCTCATTACAAATAGGAAACACGACTGAGTCTTCGATGTTGGTGTCTACGAAGGCAAACTTCACCAATCCAACGAATTACTCGGCCACAGTCCCCTTCGTTGACCTTCTCATACTCTACAATGACACTGCTGTGGCCCACATCACCGCTCATAATATCTCTATTGGGCCTGGCAATAACAGTTACGTGCCCATCGACTTCTTTTGGTGCCCGTTGGACGCAGCTGGAGTAGATGGCGCTGAGGCAGGACGGGCATTGCTTTCATCCTATATCTCAGGTCAGTTCCCCCTAGGTGGTATGAATCCAATTGATAGATTATGCTGATCCTTTAACTCAGGCTCTAATACAACAATCACTATCAAAACCCATCGAAACACGATTCCATCTCTACCACACCTGGGCGAAGCGTTATCAGTCCTTAAAATCACGGTTCCTGTCCCTCACATATCTATTCCGGGTTCCCCAGGCAGCGATGATGAGGACAAAAAGCCTCATTTTATCCAAGATGCAACGGTACTTGCCCCTTTTGCTCATACCATGTCCCTACGCAGAGATAAGGGAGAACTTCCTACTAACACTTGCTCTAGTTCTACCTCTGGTCATCCACAGCAGAATTCACCCTCTCCTCACCCCTAACAGAAAACAATATTCTAATCACCTCAATCGACGCAATGGCATTCTATGAGAAAAATGAGCCAATTGGCCGAATCAATAACCGTGAACCCTTTAAGGTGCCGCCTGGTATATCCAAGAGCCCACGCTTGCCAGTTGATCTTGACATGGGCGGGGTTGGGTACGATGCCCTGCGCAAGGCACTCGGTCAGTCGTTGGAGATGGATGCTGTCGCTAAGGTTGGAGTGTTGATTGGGAACTATATGGATGTCATTCTCTACCATGGGAAGGGCATTGTGGCTAAAGTGAGGATTTAGAGTGTTGTACAGCTGCCCCGGCCTGTACCATGGGGTCTTGGTTTTGGTCTTGGGTTGCGCTCATTGCTGCTGGATCAGGAATGCACAGGTGCCCATGATATTTGGATGGAAAAATTGCTCGATTGGATCAATCCCCAGTTATTTTTAGGAGGGTACGTATATAGACTGCGCTCCGTTTATATCCAATGAAAACCAAGTGAAATGAGATCAAAGTGAGAGGATATAAACCTATATAAGACCTAGAACGACTTGTATGGTCCCATAAGTAAAAGACTAATGCCTATACTCCTGTCCTGGGAGGACATGGCTGAGCGGGAATCAGCCGTGGCCTACCAGGACAAAAGAAGAAAGGACAAAAAAATTCCAAAAAGCCAAAAAAATGGCCAAATCCAGCCAGATTGGAGATGAAAACGATTTCATCCGAGCTTGCGCGTGCGTTCCAAAACCTCTCAATTCTTTCTCGGAATTAAAATGATCTGGTTCATCTGGGTCCTCCGAAGGAGACCGTCCCTCCTCCTTCATTTTTTTTAAACCATGTAATAGTACCCGTGGACATTTAGTCCCATTTAGACATGTACTGTGAAGACGAGCTATACACTGCAGAATGGACCCTATATGTTGTATACACGCTGGAGGGTCCCCTAGCCATCATAAATCTAATTTCGCTGTGAGCATTGGAACCTCTTTGAGATACATATGTGCGATATTTACATTGCTCTCTCAGTTTGGCTTGTCAAGTTGTTACCCCGGTAACACCATAGACTGCAGGCTGATAATAGAATAGATATAGAAACACTGATTTAACACCATTCATGCCATGCTGGAAATGTCCCCAGGTTGCTTTTCTCCATGATTAATGGCTGGGAAGCTATTGGGAGTACTAGGAGGTAGTGGCCCGGGGAGTATGTACGATCTCCGATCTAGGCAACGCCGCGGCAGATGTGGAATCTATTGAATAAACGCACACCGCCACTTGAAGTGTCATTTCATCATATATTGTACAGCCATTTGTATTTGAAAAGAGAATATGTATAGATGCGAGGGAAACAATAGCTTTCATTTTACATACAATGGCTAAGCCAGTTGTTTTCAAATTAGATCAACTCCACGGGAAAGCTAGAAGATATACAAAGCTAAGAGACCAAACCAATCCTATTCGGGTATGTAAGATTTTGAGTTGGAGGTTCGATATATAGCTTAGCCAGGGGGCAGGGTGCTGGCATCAACAACGTCGGCAGCATCCTTCTCAATCTCTTCGTTGGGCTCACCCAGAGGGGAGCGGGGAAGGGCCATCAGACCGGTCCGGGTGGACTCGAGAATACCGAAGGGACCGATCAGCTTGAGGAAAGAGTCGATACGGGAAGGCTTGGCAGAGCTGTTGGGGGTCGAATGAGTCAATTGTAACCAAAGATTATGAGTCAGGACAGAGGAAATACTTACACCTCGACAATGCAGTTGTTAGTGCTGATATCCAGGATCTTACCACCGAACTGGTGAGTCAGGCGGGTAATGGCATCCAAGTGTTCGTGCTTGTGACGCAGAGCCTGACTCTGGGGAAGGTGGCGGGGGTGGTATTGCTGGGCGGTGTGGTCAAGGCTGTGGTGCTTGTGGTCCAGGGAGTCTGGCGAGGTGGTGATCTCGCGGTGGTGCTGGAGAAGCTCCTCAAAGAACTCAGGACCAAGGATGGAGACCTTAGCAAGAAGAAGCTCACGCTGCACAAGAGCAGAGTCGGTGTAGTCCAGCACAGCCCAGACGGGGACGAGGTCGTCTAGCTGGCGGCGAGCCTGCTCAACAACACCATCCTGGCCCTGCAGCACGATGGTCATGCGCGAGAGATCCTCAACCTCGGTGTTGCACACCACCAGACTGTCGATGTTGAAGCCACGAGCGGCCAGGATACCAGACACACGGGACAGCACACCGGGCTCGTTCTGCACGAGGCAGTTCAGGATGTGCCGCTTGGGTGGGTTGGAGGGAGCCACGGGAGTCTCATAGAGAATGGAGGAGACGGCGGTTGGAGCATCCCATTGAGGGGAAGCATCGGAGACCGGCAATGGCAGAGGCGACCGACGGTGCAATGCCTTGTAGGCAAGAGCTGAAGTTGAGCTCGATGATGCACGAATAGAGGTGAATCGGGGAATGGCAGAAGCGCGAGACCGGGCAGTAGCTGCAGCAGATGACAGCTGCGACGCTGACCCCAGGGACAGCGTCAATGGGCGCCTGAAAGCCATGAGGAGTTCAAGTAATGTGAATGGGTTGTGCGATGATTCACCAGATTCGCCCCGGGGATATTCTTTTTGGTCGGCCGACCTCGGCGACCGCCTGCTGACTCATAGCAAGCTAGATCCAAAGCGGTATAGTGCATCTGCCGGTGATAAGGGCACGTGATAATATATCACGTGATCTTCAATATTCAACATGGCCAAAGGGATTGCCTGAAAGCCCGACCAGCTCTTGGATATGAGAAACATATAATATCACTGACTATTCTCGTCAATTTCAGCTTTTCAATTTACTAAAAATTTCCTCAGTCCTGGCTTTGGTGGCTTTATTTGTTGGCTGCTCGGCCCTCCGCCTCTAAAACTCCTTCCCGCGATCGATCTGGACCTTTTCAAGCTTCTTTTCCCCGACCTTTCCTCTCCTTCACTCTACCCCACCTTTCACCATGGCAGAAGATGAACACCGGGTCAAGCGGTCTCGCTTTGACCAAACTGAGCCTGAGCCCCGGCGATCCCGATTTGACCGACGCTCTCGATCTCCGTCCAACCGCCAGTCGGAGTCGGCCCGCACTCGTAGTCCGCTGAGTCGCCCGCTGAGTCGCAGCCCTGGCGCAGATGCTCCAGCTAAGCTATCTGCAGTGGACCCAGCCGCCGCCGCAGGTGCGTTACACCTGGGTTCATATATTGTCATAGGATTTTGTGGCTAATTACTGTGGTCTTCATAGCGGCAGCAGCAGCCAAGATCAATGCGCAACTTCAGGCGAAAAAGGGTATTCAACATGTTGATGTCCCTCCAATCCGCTCTGTGAATATACAGTCACTTCGATTTGTTCTGCCCAACTCCTAACATTGTCAAACAGGCCGACAACGCGACAGAGAATTCCCAGTCGCCCTCTGCCGAGGGCGCAGCGAAGCTGAATGCCGAAATCTACGTCGCAGATGGAGACTACATCAAGGACATTGAGATCAATGACCTGCGCAATCGCTATACCCTGACGAAGGGATCTACTCAGAAGATGGTAATTATCCCCTTTGTCACTTGCTGATATTCCAGCCATGTTCCGTAAAAGATTGGGGTACCTTGAATCTTGCTTTCTCGTCGTTCTGCTCTCTTCTCTTGGACTGGATGAAGCTTACCCTTCACTAAAACATAGCATCCAATTCACCCTCTGTTGCATCTGCTGACCTCCGCTGCGTGACTTATAGATTCAAGATGAAACCGGCGCCGGTACGACTTCCTTCTATATTTTCAACTTTAGGCAAAGAAGGTCTCACTCACTGTTTTTTTTCTCTCTCAAGATGTGACAACCCGAGGCAATTATTACCCCGACAAGAACATGGCGACTGCAGCAGTAAGGAATGCCTCCCAAAGATTGGCGAGATCAAGTGCTGATTATTCCGATTCAGAGCCCTCCCCTTTATCTACATGTGACTAGCACCAACAAGGATGGTCTGGAGAAAGCGGTCGCTATGATTAATGATCTGATGCAAAAAGAACTTCCGAACCTGGTTGACGAGCGACGTTTCCGCCGCCGGGAACCCGAGCAACAGGTTGAGCGGGATGAATATGGCCGTGTATGGGACTGTTCCTTTCCCCCTTGTTGATAAAAAATTTGGCTAATTTCACACAGCGCAAATGGCCGGATGAGCGCATCCCCATCGATCTTGAGCCAATCCCCGGTTTCAACCTGCGCGCCCAGGTTGTCGGACAGGGCGGTGCTTATGTGAAGCACATTCAACAACAGACTCGCTGCCGTGTTCAGATCAAGGGTCGTGGCTCTGGCTTCATCGAATCGAGCACTGGTCGTGAAAGTGACGAAGCGATGTTCCTCCATGTGGCGTGAGTTTTCATCTATTTTCTTACTGACTTTGTTCCTCACTTGCTTTTTGCCTCGCTCATTTCCACCACACCGATGAGCCTCTACTGACAGTCTTTCAAGTGGTCCCGATGCCAATGATGTCCAGCAAGCAAAGGAGCTTTGCGAGGACCTTCTAACCAATGTTAAGGAACAATACCAGCGTTTCAAGGAGAACCCACCCCAGCACAACTACGGTGGATACGGCAACCGCGGTGGTGACCGTGGTGACCGTGGTGATCGCTACCAAGGAGGAGGAGGAGGTGGTGGTGGTGGTGGATACGGCGGTGGCTACAACAATCGCCAGCAGCATAATACTTCCTCTGCTAGCCCTGCAGGCCAGGCTGCTGCTGCTGCTGTTGCTTCCCCGGGTGCTGCTGCCACCCCCACTGCCGCCGACTACAGTGCTCAGTACGCCCAGTACTACGGCACTGCCGACCCATATGCTGCCTACGGTGGATACCAGAACTACGTCGCATACTACCAGTACTATCAGCAAATGGCTGCCGCCCAGCAGCAGGCAGATGGAACTGCTCCGCCTCCTCCGGCCAGCGAGGCCCCTCCTCCACCCCCTGGCTCAGGATCCCCGCCGCCTCCGCCTCCTGGTGCAGGTGGTGGTGGCTACAGCGCGGTACGTTGTCCGTATATCATGCATGCTAGTTCTTTTTACTGACATTATGACTTACAGGTCCCTCCACCCCCTGGTCTTTGAGACAAACCCTGTTTTGGTGGGTTAATCTTGTGTCGCCCGCTGTCCAGTCGCAATCCATTTGACATTCACGGCAAACAAAAGCATGTCCTAGTCGTTTGAAAAAACGAGGGTATACAGCGATTTTTTTTCGTCAATCTCTTTCTGATCTCTTTGTCTTTGCTAAAGAAAGTCTAGCAGTCTGCCTTGTTCTAACCTTTTCATTTGCCTATTTCC